CTGTTTATTTTAATTGGGGAGAAGGACTAGCCCTAGTTAACACGTTGACGACCGTGTGACATGATGTCATGTCACAGTCTTTTTCAAAGCTGGTTTTCAAACATTTTAGGTAACTTATTTATGTGATGCGCCATACTTAGGCATTGTTACAAAAGGCGTGGTCCCTGGAAAGAAGCATAGGTCAAGGGCTATCACTTTTTGGGTTCAGGCTGAAATAAATCGGTACAAAAAATGTTTGCAATAATAATTTGCTACAGTGGGTGAGGACACTTTTGGTCGGAGACATATGCGCGTCCTTTGATCCTGCATAGTTGTAGCCGCTTCTGCGTTGTCTGTGAACGTTTTCCTTTGCCTCCGTTCCTCCTTTCCCGCAAATCTTCGAGTCTGTGAGTGGTTTTCGACATGTAGGTCCGATTGCAATCCAACGATCATCTATAAGCTCGAGATACAGGGACCAGGAAGTGATCCTAGGAGGGTACCTCTTAATCGCACGTTAGCTTTGGCCCTTTCTACGCGCTCTCAAATCGCAGGAATAGCTGAAATGGCCAAAATCGCAAAATCCGAGACCTACCACACAAGAAAGATAACAAATAAACAGTTCCCCAAAAAGGTGTTCTCGTGGGACCGTGTGACATGATGTCATGTCACACTCGCGCGGTCAAAATAATGCGCGCGGTCCCACACGCCAGACAGCGAAAAATAGCGCGGTCGTCAACGTGTTAAACACGTACGAAGTGGAACTGAACAAAACTCACATTGCGTAGCCGGTTGAAAGGGCGACGAACGGCATCGGATGGTGGGTGTGGGATCGGAGTGGTCGGCACCGGGCGCTCTGAAGGGTAGAGGGGGAGTCCCTGTTAAAGCCCTGTTCGACGTTTTTCTTTGGTTTTTTCTTCACTATCGGTCAACTTTTCACCTACAACTCCATTATCAACGGTTTTCACCCCGCGAACTCTTTCTGGGATTGTTGCCTTGATTCAAGCATGATGAATTTGGGATGAAGTCGACTCTCGAGGGTAATACGACCTCTGCCGTATTGATGGCTTGTCCATGGTCAAAAATAAGCTGGAGGGGTCCCATTGCGTGTTTTCGACTTACTTTCTCGCCTATTTTCATCGCTGGTGCACCATTTACGTAGGACCGAACCCTTTTCCACTTCAGACAAATCCATCTATGTCGCTGCCTTCAGAAAAACGACCCAAATCGCCGATCATCTGTAGAAAATGGCCTTAATTTTGGTGTTTTCTGCAGGTTTTTTTTGTTTATTTCTTCACTAGTGGACCACCAATCGACTAGAATTTCCTTTTTGAATACTAATTTCCTCCCATGCTGAAGTGAGTATTCGAAGCAACGTCAAAGGGTTGAACGCCTTCGAAGTGAGCGTGGCGGTAAGTAAGTCAATCGCAAGTCTTTCATGAGGTCCTTGCGCGGTTGCGTTCTTTGTTAATTTACTTGCCAACTTATGTAATATCCGCATGTTGGCTGTAATATTATGTGTCTCTGCTTGTTTCGTGCAACACGATTGGAGCCGCATGTCTGCTCGCACGAACCAGCAAGAAATCCGGCAGAGCAATGCATTCGACAGCTCGCCGACACCACCCATAAGTCATTTCAGAAAAATAAAGAGGGAATTTCTGTCATGCTTAATCGGTGATTTCTTGTTTTTTTGCCATTGCAAGCAACTGCCATTACAATTTCATACGACTTATAACGCAATTCGATCTGATATTGTAGCTTTAAGGGCAGGGCCTTAGGCAAACTCTCTGCCACATTTCTCATAAGTGGGTTTTTTGGTACCAAACATACTATTCAAATAGCGGAGCTTATGCGCTACAAGCCGGCTATCCAATGAAATTGTAACCGTGACCGTCCGTATGACTACGAGAAAATTGTTCCCCTGCCCTCAGGTGAATAAAAAAGTCCCTCTTCTTATCCCTCAACTCCTAGCGGAATGACAACAAATATGGCCTCATATATACACTCATTTTCATAGAATTCGTTCTTCCACCTCTTACGATAATTAATCCCTTCTCGCTCATCTTAGGATGTCAGACTTTGCGAATCGCGCGATCCGCTGCTAGCGATTCGCGTAATTCGCTAGCGTCCGCGGTCGCGTTGCGGTACTAGTCAACTGTGTGATTCACTGGCCGCGTCGCGACCGCAGACGCTAGCGAATCGCGCGAGTCGCAAGCGTCAGTCTGATTACTTACTAGAATACTAATATATACCAGTCTGGAACATCGCTAATGATGCACCATTCAACTCTATCACACACGTGGGGGGGAAAATCTTTCTGAAAACCCAAACATATTTCCCTCATACACAAATACGACCTTGCTGGAAATTCCCATGTGATAGCCTTATTCCAGGTGCTTTATCATCCGCGTTCAGGAGTACTCCACAATTCACGAAGCGATTTTCAACTTCAGCGGCCGTCGTAGGTTCCAACTACAAATCTTCTTGGTCTATTTCATCTTTCAAACATATCTACCTTGTGTTTTGATCGTAATGCTCTCATGGGTCTCTTTCTGGATCAATCACGAGGCAACCAGTGCCCGTGTAGCACTGGGTACGTTTTCAGGCCTTTAACGCCGTTCAGAATTCGTTGTTTCAAAACCTAAACTTTAGGCATCACCACTGTGCTCACTATGACAACGATCTCTACAGGTGTACGCCAGTCACTGCCTCGAATCAGTTATGTGAAAAGCATCGATGTGTATCTGGTAGGTTTACACCGAATGCGTACAAGACAAACAGCCATTCGTGCACGAGGAAGCGCCACGTCTGAAAAAATCGCGAGACCAATTCGGCGTTGTTTTTTTCTCCAGTCATCCTGATAACAGCGGCATGTTTTGCTTTGTCCCATTAGCAAAAGTGTCGTCCTCGCCTGAGATTTATTATAAGCCGTTTAGACAGGAGTGCAGCACCCGAATAAGCTAAATACGACGTCCTGCTAGCTCACGTACAATGCGCTCGCTGGAACGCGATTTCGCAATAACAATCTTAGTTATGTCGCAATAGGCTACTCCCCGCTTATCCATCGAGCAATCAGGATAGCATGAGCCGTCGCACTAGCGAGTCTGCCCGTGCCGCGCCAGACGAGGCGCAGAGCATCCTCACCTCTTCAAAGACGCCTATAGTTGGCGGGTTGGCTCGACATGTTCTCTCTCCTTTGAGAGAGCGCAGAGAAAACGAATAGTGGGAGGCGAGCACGCACTTCAGCGCGTCAATGCGTCGCGCATTGTACGTGACTACAGCAGAACATTATAATTCACGCTTACTTCGGGTGCTCGCTCTGTCCAAACGGCTTAAGTCTGAGATTTTTGGTGGACACGGAATGTGGAAGACTCAAGCGTTTTAGTTCGATGCATTGGAGTCATCGAAAGGTATAATAACGAGTAGTTCTGGTTCTGAGCATACTATTCCTTTTCTATTCTCGAAGCTTTTGTGAAAATAAAAAACAGGAGGAACAAGCTGAATATTTTGCCGACGTCAAGAAACTTGTACTAAATTAAAATACCGTATTTTCAGCCATTCCGCGGACATCTTTTTGTGGTCAACTTGAAGCAATATTATAAAATTATATGATTTAAATACAGACTTAGAATAAAATATAGAATTAAGAAGACTGAAAAGAACTGCCACCTGCAGCGAAAAGGGCTGTGTAGCGCGACCACATAGCGAGTCGCACTGTCACACGCAGGCGTATGTTCAACCGCCATCGGAGCAATGTGTACGTGTAACAAAGAAAAACTAAGCAACTACGTAACGTTAGCGCCGTTAAAGCTAATCGAAGTCTGAAAAAAGTAACGTTAAAGTCTAGCCTAGTACGTAAAGCCTGAATTGAATCGGAGCAGAGAGAGCGGTCCCATCCATTGTAGCCACGACGTGCGACAGGACAGCGGCGACGCGCACGCGTGCAAACTTCTGATCACTTCCCGTAAAACGACACCTTTTATGTACTTTTCAACTTATTGCGGTCGCCGCCTCGTTTATCCCCACTTCTTTTTTTTATGAATATTTATTTTCATGAGTATATTAATTTAATAGAATTATAAATTGGAAAATAGTAAGTATATAAAGTTCTGAAATAAATATGGTTACATCTGGGCAAGTGAAAATTTAACTAATCAAGCAAAACATTTCTCCGTAATCTGACATCCCGCAATCATAATGGCTGACTATGACCGACGATTTGCCCATAACACGAATAACTAGAAGCCCCAGCGACCGGGAAAAAGTGGATAAGGGTTGCCGGAGGGAAAGGGGTTAAACGCTATTGGTGGGCTAAGCTGCACCAAAGTGGGCGGGGTTTGCCACGAAAACTCATGACTCATAACGTCTTCTACAAGACCTCATAATTCGGCTCCGAGATGACTTAGAGACCTGAAAAAATGTGTAGAGGTGAGAGGAGGAGTAGAGGTTGAATGTGAACGCTGGGCGTGGCACACCCGAAGTGGGCGGAGTTTGCCACCACTCTCATAACTCGGTTCCTAGAAGTTCCGGCGACCGGGAAAATGTGCATAAGGGTTGAGGTATGGAGTAGGGTTGAATGCCATTGTTGGGCTAAGCATGCACCAAAGTGGGCGGGGTCTGCCTCAGAAATTCGTGACTCATAACGTCTTCTACAAGACCTCATAATTCGGCTCCGAGATGACTTGGAGACGAATAGAAATCCAAAGACATTCCATGTCGGCTGCACAAAAACCAGAACAAGTTGTGGCTACGCCCACGAAACAGCGCTTATAATATAGTCCAAACCACTTGTTACAAGTGCAAGCGGTTGCGAACAGATGAGATTAATAGTTGTGCAAATAAAGTTCTGCAAAGGTAAATTAAGAGGAAACTGATTTAAAAGTAGTACTCTGCACTGAAAAATTGATTCACGTCCTGCTACCTGATAGCAAACGTACCGCAGCCGCGCGCGTCTCTCACCTCAGTGCTCTAACAGCCTCAGATTGTAACTACAATATGCACAAACAAATCATACTTAATGATTCAGGTGATGTGTTTTGTGTTCGTATTCGCTGCTTTGCTGGAGTACGCGGCCGTGAACTATTCGTATTGGGGACGGAGATCCCGTGGTGGTGGCGAAGAAGGGTATGGGGTTTTATATCTTACTCATAATTACAACGGCAGGTATAGTCAATCAAGAGTTTCAAGGTGGCCAGTATGCAATGCTAATAAGGACGACCGGGAAAGCGCTGTCAACATAAAGGAGTGGGGCGTACCAACCAGTCTCATCAATGTACGTTTATACCTCGTCAGCCTACTAGTAATGATAATTTACTATTTGAGCAATTTTAGGAACTCAGGCAGTCCACCTCCGATCCACGAACACATGATTTGAACTCAAGCGGTGTTGGTGGAGATGCTCCTGTACCTCTTTCTTCTGCCACAAGAAAAAAGCGGCAGTCAAGTCCGATACCGTCCCTTTGCCCATCTGGACCAAATGGCATCGACGACGGTGACGACTCACCAGAATATCCCCGATATGCCTCAACCGTTCAGGGAATGAGGGCTAGACCGTCCCTTATCCGCCAAGGTGAGTTTTTTTGCGGTAGAGGAATGAGGGGCGACCTTGGTGGCATGTGGAACCGTATATGTGCACGCGTACTCTCCGCGAAGCTGA